TATGGAGATGGGGGGTATCCCCAAAGCTGCTGAGAGAGTCAAACATGTGACCTCCCCCGGCTCTGACACCCCCAGGTCAGGGGGGGGTTAGAGCGGGGGGTAAGTGGGGGCTGGCGGCCCCCCCATCCCACTGGGACAGGAAAGAGAGGGGATGAGCGGGGAGGGGAGCCCCATGGGACGCAGCTACGGGCAGGGAAGTCTGGTGAGAAAACGCCCAGGGCCAGAGCCCGGAGGCTGTAAATCGGAGCTTCTCCATGGGACACAATATCCCCCCACGGACACCACTGGGGGGCTGGGCCTGGGGAGAATGGAGATAGATGGGGAGGGGGTTGATAGATAGATAGATAGATAGATAGATAGATAGATAGATGGGGTGGATGGGGATAGATAGAAGAGGTGGATGGGGATAGATAGATTGATAGATAAATACAGGGGGTGAAGGGGGATAGATAGATAGATAGATAGATAGATAGATAGATAGATAGATAGATAGATAGATAGATAGATAGATGGGGCGGATGGGGATAGATAGATAGAGGAGGAGGATGGGGATAGATAGATTGATAGATAGATAGATACAGGGGGTGGAGGGGGATAGATAGATAGATAGATAGATAGATAGATAGATAGATAGATAGATAGATAGATAGAGGGGGGTTATATGGGGTTGGATAGATAGATAGAGGGGGTGTATGGGGATAGATTAGATAGAGGAGGTTTATATGGGGTTGGATAGATTGATAGAGGGGGTGTATGGGGATAGATTAGATAGAGGAGGTTTATATGGGGTTGGATAGATCAACCCCCGCAAAGGGGAAGGTCAGCTAGTGGTCCCTTAGGGTCAGACTCTCAAAGGTACTATATTAGGCGCTTCACTCCCATGCAATCAAAGGGAGTTAGGTGTCTACCTTTGAGGAGCTGGGTCTTGGCCCATGCCTTGTTTCGTTGTGGGAATATCAAGGTAGATCCCTGTATCTACCGTGCTCAAGGATCTACCTTGTAGATCTTCCTTATAGGTCCAGGTAGATCCTTGTAGATCTCTGGTTTATCTGTAAAGCCCTGGTGCAAACCCTATCTCAGCTGACCCCAAGAAGGGTGACTCCTAATAATGAAACAATACAGCTCCTGGCCAGCCGAAATGGACCTGTCCCTGATACCTTAGTGGTGGGAGAAAGTGGATGTCTCTGATCGTCCAGGCTGCTTGGCTCTGGGAGGGAGGAGGCAACAGGGGAGATGCCAACATTGCTTTCATTTTCCCATCTGACGGTATCCCCAGGAGATTGCTGTCCCAGTAGGATCAAGTTCCCAAAAGTGGGGTCGGACTTGGTGTGACGAGGGTGCTTGCGGTGTTTGGAGCCGCCATGCCGGCTCCCGTAATAGGCCTGGATCGGCTCCTGATGCTGTTCGTGGTTTAACCGTGGGTTCTGGTAAGTGGCTTTGTGCACTCCCATGTGGCCCAGGGTCATGCCAGCCACTTCAGCAGGAATGGAGGACTCAGACGCTCCCATCCTGGTGCCTTCCCCTAACAAGTTCATGGCAGCCTCCCTGCCTGGCTCGGCGATGCTCAGATCGTCCATCTGGTCGATGGTCCTCTGGACGCTGGAGAGGCCAGGGACGCCATGCACATGCTCCTCCTCCTTGAAATACTCCTGCGCTGGGTAGAAGGTGTCTTCTTCCATGGCGCTGCAAAAAGCCACTTCCTGCTTGTCCTTGCTCTCCCGCTTGATGGACTCCTGGAAGCCCCGCAGGCAGAGCTGGTAGTACTGGGTGAGTTCATAGCTCAGTCTAAGCAGCTGCATGGAGATAAAAGGGTGCTTCAGGGCTGCACTTGGCGTGATCCTCTCATGCGAGTCCCAGGTCAGCATCCTCTTGATCAACTCCACCATGCTTCTCAGGTCGAAGTACTCAGCCAGGACTTCATTGTCTGGGTAGATCATCTTGTGGATGTTCACCGACTCCATCTGTTCCAGGGACTTGAGAACATACTTCCTCCTCTCCACAGATTTTACCTTGGTCTCTGCTAAGTACTCGGATGAGGATTTCAGCTGCCATTGGGTTACCAGTTCAGCATGTTGGTTTCTCTTGAAGAAGTGGTGAGCTTTCCTGGCTACATTGAGCAGGCTGTGCTTGGGCATCCCTTGGGTCTCGCAGATGTACCTGATCTGGTCATACTCATTGTTCCCAGGGTAAAGGGGCCAGCCTAAGTGAAGCTCTGCCATAATGCAGCCCAGAGACCACACGTCCACCTTCTCACAGAAAGGTAGGCCCAGCAAGATCTCCGGTGCCCGGTAGAACCGGGATTGGATGTATGGCTCCTTGACGTAGCGCACCTCATTGAAGATGCTGGCTGACCCAAAGTCAATCACTTTGACTCGGAAAGGGTACCTCGTTTGGTCAACCAGCATTATGTTCTCAGGTTTCAGATCCGTGTGGATGATGGAAAGCTCCTTCAGCTTGGCCAGGGCTTTGAGCACCTGGGCGGTCACTGTCCGGATGTGCTTGACCGGCAGAGGAGAGAAATTGTTCTCCTTCTGGAAGTCAAATAGATTTTGCTCCAAGAGCTCAAAGACCAAGTAGAACTTCATCTCGTCATGGAAGAACTTGTGGAACTGGATAATGTGTGACTCCTCCGAGTCCACCCCCGCCATGGTCTGCAGCAGCTTCAGTTCATTTTTAATGATCCTGCGCCGATAGGCATCATTCTTCAGAATTTTGATGGCCACCATCTCCCCCGTATTCCTCCGCCAGCTCTTCACTACTTCCCCAAAGGTGCCTTTCCCCAAAATGTCTATGACGTCAAAACATTCATTGCCCGACTCGATTGTTACCATGTTCTGTTCTTAACTTCCCCCTCTCCGTTGGGCTGATCTCAGAAACACAGGGGCAACTGGCCTCTTGCAAAAGAATGCTCCACCTCCCTGGAGCAAAGAGAATCCCCTGCTGCCCTTCAGTGGAACCGGGGCTGATGCAACAGTGCCCGTCATTCCAAAGTTGCCAGGCCGAGAAAGTTCTATTGTGGGGGGGAAGAAGTTACTCCAGTTTTACACCCGCAGAACCCCATTATGCCAGTGTAAAACCGGAGTAGTGCACTGGGAAACCCGGCCCACATTGCCCAGCACAAACCAAATGCCTCATTCTCATTTACACTGACTCCCCTTTGCACCACTCTGGCAGTGCAAAGGGGCCTTGCAAGCGGGTGTAAATTACCTTACAATGCAAATCAGGAGGCCTGTGTTTCTCCGTCCGAGGGCCACCCTAGAATGGGGGTTCTCAGCGCCAGTAACTGCTGTGCTGTATCATAGGACCAGGCTGCAAGTGCCATGAACATGGACAGAAGAGCAAAGTCCAACCTGTGGGCAAATCGTTCCACACAAGCCTGCACTGGGGCGTGAGCGTGGCTGGCCTTTCAGGTCATATGTGAAAGGCTCACCGATAGTATCAGGAACAGAGGAGTTCCCATAGAGCAGCTCAGGACCACTGGTCCAGCGACTCCTTTGCCCCACCCCAGCAATACTAGAGCAGGACCACTGCGCTTGGGTCTCCCTGCGGAGCAGACAGTTGCCCCTACCTGGGTTAGCTTGCTGGCGTCCCGCCTCCCCAGTTCACATCGCCTGAGTCCAGCGGCCTTTGCCTGCCGCTTTGGTGGGAAGCAGCAAAGACCCATGAGCCACCCTGGGGTGGGGCTGACCCTGGCAGCAAGGACTTTGTGACAGCCCCTTAGCTCAGTTTGTATCACAGCCCCCCAGTTTAACCCATACAGCTAGGGTGCCAACTCCACTGTTCGGTTCTGAACGCCCCGGGGTGCTGGGATCTGGGGTTTTACTTTCCATTGGAATGCTGAGTCCATCCCACCATGCCCTGAACCTTCATCCCAACCCCCAAGTTACCCCTTCTTCCTCCTCTCCCCGCTCCCTCCCCCAACCTGCCTGGGACATGGGACGCAGAGACCCCCTAAGAATGAAGAGAAAAGCTGTACTCACCTGCCAGCCACCTCCTCAGCGTGCAGAGCCTCTGGTCCAGCTCCCTCCCGCCCTGCTGCGCCATCCCAGGCACCGCTCTGCTCCTGCAGCCCCAGTCCCAGGCCTGGGCCCTGGCTGCTACGCAGAGGTGCTAGGCAGGCAGAAACACAATGGTTGCGTGTGGATGTTGTCCCTTTACATCTGAAAAACGGGCATTAAAAATCATCATTTGGGGTTTTCACCCCCACAGTCCCTTGCACTTGCCTTAAAGAGACATGCCTAAGCAGCGTGTATGTCTCTGGCATTCGATAGCTGTGTATACCGTTCCCCCGCCTCCGGTGCTGCAGTGCCCATCACCGCTTAGCCATGCGGTTGAGACCTGGGCTAGCTGAGGCTTTCGGGCGCGAGGTTAAGCTGTGTTAGCGGCGCTGAGGCGTTACCTGAGCCAGTTCCACCCTGTTAAAGGCCTTGGCTGCAAACAGTCGGTAGCCAGTGTGGTCATGTCATACCGTCACATCCTAGCCTAGACCTTATTGAGCCAGCCTTTCCCGCGCCCCGTCTGGCTCGCTGCCGCTCACACGCCTGCGGCCCTGGTGTAAGTGACCTCGGGAGCTCCGGGCAGATTGCCAAGCTACAGCGCCAACGAGTGGGGTCCGAGTCTCCAAATGGCTCAGCTGGTCTCCAAACTGCCTTTTCATCGGTGCCCAGTGGGGGCTCAGCCTGTCGGGCCCCTGGCACTTCTCCGTCTGTGGGGCCTGCTTCTCCCCACACTGAGCGAGCCTCCCTCTGAGCAGTGCAGCCGCCTTCCCGGTGCCGGGGAGGAGAGTCGATTTTCAAACCCCTCTGTCCCTGCCTTTGGCCACCAGAGGGTGCCCCGAGCCTTGGTAAGTGGCATGGAAACCTGGACACTGGCAGTTTGTTTTGGGTTATCTAGGGCTGGCGCTAGCCCACTCCAGGGCTCCTGTCCCTCCTCCCCGGCTTGCAACAAACTTCAGCACCAGGCTCCCTTCTCACCCCCGGCCTGAACTTCCGCACCGGGGCAAACAGGCTACGAGGTAGGACAGGTGAATGACCCAGCCCAGCCCTGACGGCGCTTGCGATCTGGCAGGCGTGCAGCAGAGGGGAGAGGGCTGCTCTACTAATGGGGCTCCTCAGTGGTGTCCCCCCACCAGGGAGATTTTAAGCAGCTGAGGGGTTATGGCTGCAGCAGCAGGTGTCGAACACTGACGGGGCCTGAGTGACTCCCGTGCCCCTGTGCCATTCTAGATTAAGCTCTTCCTGAAATCAATTAATAACCTTGTGTCATGGAGTTGGGGGGGAGACAAGGCCCTGTGACCCCCGGCTTCCTGCGATTCACCGTGACTCTCAGCCAGGCAGTAGAACAGAAGATTTATTAGACGACAGGAACACACTCCCAAGCAGAGCGTGTAGGTACAACCAGGACCCCTCAGTCAGGTCCTTCTGGGGGGTAGGAAGCTTAGACCCCAACCTCGGGGTTCCCTACGATTCCCCAGCCAGCCCAAGACTGATACTCCACTGCAGCAGTCTCACTCCTTCCCCCGCCTTTGTCCAGTTTCCCCGGCAAAGGTGTCAACTGGGTCCAACCCCGTTCCCAGCTCAGGTATCCTCACTCAAGTGGAGTCATCCCCTGCTCTCCCATCCCCCATGCAGACAGTCCCAGGTCAATCCTCCCCGCTCCCTACTGCGTCACACCTTGGAAGCCCCATTCCCTGCAGCAGCAAGCGGGGTGGATACCCGGCACCAAGGGGGCCCGCTTCCCAGCCCGCTGCCTTTGGGGCAGCCATGCGCTCCCACTCCTCGGGAAGGCCAGGAGATTTTTATGACAAAGCGATGGACTCGTCTGGGCCTCAGGAGAACTGGGTTCAGTTCTGGCATTGGTACCGACTCCCTGTGGGACCAGGAGGTGGCGAGTGCCATGGGAACTGGGTGCCCAATTCCCCACCTGTACTACGGAAATGTGTCTCGGGAGAGGGAGCTGCCCAGGGCAGCCGCTGTCCAGCGCCAGGGGTGGGGTGCAGCACCCAGCAGAATGGGGCCGTGCAGGGACGGAGAGCAGCAGTGCAGTGTGTGGGGTCAGCCAGAGGTCTGGTCTCTGGCCAGTGGGAGCTGACACAGGGCCTGGGAGACTGGAGGGGCTACAGACAAGAGCCAGCACCCTTATCTTTCACTTCCACCTAGAGCGCCGAGCCCCGAGGTCCGAAGAAAGACACCGCCCAGAACTCCACTCGCTCACAGATGAATTTTATTCAGACAAACCCAGACTAGAAAGAAGAAGCAGCAGCAACGCAGTGAGTGTGAGACAAGGTAACAAAGTGACCCCGGGGTTACTGGAGCTGAGCGTCGCTCCGGGCAGGACAGGGTGTGGATGCTGCCACCCCCCAGCTCTGCGGGACTCCAGGGGAAAGGGGCATTTGGCGTTAATGGGAATCAAAAAAATCCCTGCATCTAAGAGCAATGCTTTTAAAACAGCCCTGACAAGGTGGGGGGTGGGGGAGGGAGCTCTGCTTCCTCGCTCCAGCTACTGCCCCTGCTCCAAACGCCATCCCGTCTGCTCGAAATGCCAATGGTTTTGGCTAAAGAAAGCCCTGGCAAACCCACACCCAGCAGCTAATTCCTGCTCGTCCGCTTGCTGCTGAGGACAGGTTTAAAGAGAGTGGGTCAAATTCTACCCTGGTGTAAATGATACCAAGGGCCCCATTCCCCCTGCACCTTGCACAGTTATTTGCACCAGTGCAAAGTGGGAACGAATCGTTACTGGCTTCACCGAGTAGCGTTTTGCATCCATTTGAAGCCAGGGCAGCAGAGAATCGGACCAAATGCAAGTCCCAGCAGGGCTGCTTGTGTGTCTCCCAGGCAGAGAGAAAGGGGAAGGAACCCACTAGCATGTGTTTGGGGGAAAGGTCGTGCTCGCCCTGGGAGCCTTGTTCTGGCGTCTGTGTTGGTCTGGACCCAGCAGAGATCACTGAAAGTGACGTAGGTGGAGCTCTAGACTGGAGTGCGATGCCATTAGGGTGACCAGATGTCCCGATTTTATAGGGACAGTCCCGATTTTTGGGTCTTTTTCTTATATAGGCTCCTATTACCCCCCACCCCCTGTCCCGATTTTTCACACTTGCTGTCTGGTCACCCTAGATGCCATGCCCACAAGGCCTAGGTGCCACTTCCATCCTGCTTCAGCCTTTGGGCTGAAGAGGAGGGAGTTGAGTAGTACCCTGGCCTTGTGCTGGCGTCTTGGCAACAGGGTGCCTCTCACCCCCAGGGAGCCTATGCGGGTGTAGTCAGTCAGACTACAGAGTCCAGGCTGCCGGGATCCAAAAGCGCCCAAGACCTAGGCCAACACTTCTGGCCACGTTTCCAAATGCTCCACATCTGGCATAGGGAACACTGGTGGGGAACTGGCCCTGCAGTCTGGCCTTCAGTCCCTGGTTCCCCTGGGGCTAGCTTGTGATCCATCCCCGCCTTCAGGAACCTGGAACGAGCATGGGCTGGGGGGTCTGGGTCATCAACCTTTCTTTAAAAAAAAAATTCTTTTCCAGTCATCAGATCAGACAATCTTGAAAATAAAATGCCAATAATAATACACAGATCTTCAGTAAAAGAGGTCAAAGCAACACGATTCATTAAGTAAGATCCAGGTTTATCTCTTGGCAGGTATGCTGTGTATGCGATAATACACTATTAGCTATGAAAAGGCACCCAAACTCCCCCCCTTCGTCCCCTTATCACACAGTTACACATTAGATACAAGGCAGGAAATACAATGTGACTGCAAACAAGGGCCTCTCCTCCGCCCTGTTACTTCTATCCTGCATTTATCCTAACGAAAGCCAAGCTAGCCCTCCAGTCCATGGCAAGGATGTCTGGCGTGCTTAACACACTCATGGACTGCAATCGCTCCCACGCAATACAAGCTAAAGCTGCTGCCCAAACACCGAGGGTCAGCTGGGTTATGGCTTCGTTAAGCAATAGAATCTGCAGTAGAGCCTCGGAGTTAGAAACTGACGGGTCAGCCACACACCTCCTGGGGAACCAGAACTATGCACTCAGGCAGAGACAAAAAACAGCAAATATTGTACAGTACAGGACTGTGTTAAATGTAAACTCCTAAAAAATAAAGGGAAAGTTTAAAAAAAGATTTGACAAGGGAACTGTTTCTGTGCTTGGTACATTTAAATTAAATGCTGCTTTTAACCCTCTTTTCTTCTGCATAGTAAAGTTTCAAAGCTGTCTTAAGTCACCATTCAGTTGTAAACTTTTGAAAGAACCACCGTAATGTTTTGTTCAGCATTACGAACAACCTCCATTCCTGCGGTGTTCATAACTCTTAGGTTCTACTGTATGTACACATTTGCCCCCAGAAGCAAACGGAGGGATTTCTGGACAGACTCCCACCCCCACAAAGACAACAGCTAGAAATCAAACTACCAGTGGGGGCATATTCAATCCTTTCTTTTGGGGAAAATGTAAATACTCAGGAACATTCAAAGCACCATGATGTTTAGTGAGCTCCCAGTTTGTTCCCCTGGGCTGACTGAGGCACTGGGGTGGGATTGTGCTGTAGGGGAAGGGCACAATGGTGTGAGTAAGGCACTGTTCTAGGACTCAGGACACCTGGGTTCATTTCTCAGCTCTGCCACTGACTCCCTGTGAGACCATGGGCAAGTCACCGCATCTCTCTGGCCCGGAAGTGGGGATAATTAGCCTCTCTCTGACGGTCTCATCCGTGTAAATGGCAAGCTCTTGAGGGCGGGCCAGTCCTGCTCTCCCCAGTAATAATGCCGGGCAGGGTCTCTCCGAAGGTCACACATGCAGCGGTGGCTAAGAGGGGACTACAGACGACAGGAGTGTGATGGCTCATTGGCCCTTGGCTCTAACCACAGCTTGTGGAGGCCTTGCCAGTCATCAGCTGAGGTTCCTGGTCTCTTTCCTGTTTGGAAGGGGCTCAAAAAAAAGCTGTGATAGGGCTGGGACTATGGCCCTGGTGTGCTCCTGACCTTCCCCAGCCCAAAGGAAATGACTCCCCCAGCAGTGGGGCCGGGGGGGCTGGGTGAGGGGAGCTGTGACAGATCCAGTCAACAGCCCTGCTCCGCCTGAGAAGGCTCTTCTTTGAGCCCACGCTGGGAGAGAACACGCCAGTTATTTTTAAACCGCCTTCCAAGGAGGAACCCTTTGGACTCAGCTGCTATTTGTGTTGCCGAAAGGGCAGCCAGAGGTTAGGAATTTCAGGGTAAACAGACTGGAGCTGGCCCGGCCAGGCTTTTCAGAACTCATGGGATCAAACCCCTGCTTTCCCCACACCTGGAATCACTCATTAAAAAGCAGGAGCCCACTTTCCCCGAAGGCCCCTTCCTACCGCTGGAGCAGTGCCACAGAGTCAACCCCCTGCCGTTTTCTTGTGCCTTTCTTGGAAATTCCTTACTCCTGTTACTCTGTGCAGTCCAGAGCGAGCTGCGTTTTAAATTGCCCCTAATTCACGTTATCCTGCCTCTTCCAATCGATTCCTTTCTCCAAGCTTAGCGTTACACTAGTAAGAAGGCACCGGTCTCCGGTTGGAAAGCAGCGACTGCCGTTCCCTTACTGACCATTAGTTTGCAAGCGTCTTAATTTAAAAGTATAAATGGAACAGCCACCCCCGAGAAACAGAGTTAAAGCCTAAGTTAAAAAAAAAATCCTTCGGCCCCCTTAGTGCATTCAGAACCGCCGCGTCCCCCTGCAGGGCAGGGCCTTGGGGGAACCAGGGCTGAGCTGGCACCAGGCCAAAGGGGCTGGTTATTAAACTGGTAAAACGGTAAAAAATACTAAGTGTAGCTTGGTTATTTATTCACATTATTTTCAACAAAAATTAAAAAAAAAAGTCTTGCCCCAAGAAGATTCACTTGGCCCCCGTCGGGGAGGAGTCAGAGCAGGGGGGAGCCCACACTGGGGCTGGTTATTAGAACAGCTGGGTTCCCCCCACCCCCATTTCCACCCCCATCCCACGCTGTGGTTTGAAAGCTCATCTTGTGGTTAGTGCGTCTATCACAGAACTGTACAGATACCCGCCTGCCAAGCTCCCAACGCGAGGGGGAGGCGGTGCTGGGGGCTGTTCAAGTCTCTGCTTTCCCTGCCCCAGTCCAGCCTCAGATGGGGGACGATTTCCCCACCATCACCTCGCCCTTGATTGGCTTCACTTGGCCCCCTCCCTCCTCTGGGATCTGCTCCTCCAGCTGAGTGGAGAAACCCAGCTTGGGCGTCCGAATCTTGAATCCCTCCAGTGCCCCCGGCCCCTTCTCTCCTTCCCCCTGGGAGGAGCCCCCTTTCTCCTGCTGCTCGGAAGTGACTTCTAGCACTCCTCTGGTTTTAGGGCTGAAGGCCAGCTTGGGGAACTTGAATTTAGGGGATTTCTCTCTGCCATCCAGCTCGCCTCTCTCCACATTGTATTCCCCCTTCGACTTGGAAGTGAAGCCCAGCGAGATCTTGGATGTCTCTGGCTTGGCATCTTGGTCCCTCTCCCCCTTTTCCAACAAGGCCATCTCTGTCCTGGCAGCCGAAGAGACCACGTTCCCGGCTTGTTCCCCTTCCTTCTTCTTGAAACCTGAGAACGTGATCTTGGGGGACTTGAACTTGGCCGCCTTGAGAGCCATGAAGGTGCTGACGTGAGCCTCATTCTTGGCCTCCTCTGCCCTCACCAGCTTGAGGTTCATTTCGGGGTCCATCTCCGTTGCCTTATATGGGGAGGAGAATTCAACCTGGGGCAGCTTGATCTTGCCTAGCTTCGCCTTGCTGTCCTGGGAGCCATTCTGCAGAGAAAGTTCTCCCGCCTCCCCCCCGTTGAGCTGAGACGCTGATCCCTTCCCGCTGGTGCCCAGGTCCGGGACCTCGGTCTTGGAGAAGCCCAGCTTGGGCAGCTTCAACTTGGAGCCTTTCTCCAGCTCCCCTTCCTCCTTGGCTGAGGGCTCTAGCTCCCCGTTGACTTCCACCCCAGCTTTGGATTTGGAGAGGGAGAGCCCAAAGTTGGGCTTCAGCTTTATTGTAGGCCCCTTTGCCTTGCCGTCCCCATCCCCTTCCCAGGAGCCAGCAGCAGCTTCGCCATCTCCTTCCAAGAGCCCAGAGGATGCTTCCGCCCCCCTCCTCTTGGGCTTCACCAGCACAAATACCGCCTTCTTCACCTTGGTTTCAGCCTCCTGGGCCTTGCTCCCGCCCCTAGAAAGGTTCCCGTCTCCTCCTTCCTGGGTGGCTTTGGGCAGGGCGATCCCAAACTTGGGCAGCTTCATTTTATACTTCTTCCCTGCCTCGGCTTCAGAAGTGTCCCCCTTCCCTCCCGGAGCCTTGACGCTACGACCCTTCTCCCCTTGGATGCCAGCGGCACTGGTTCTCGGCAGCTCTTGGGAGCCACTGTGGTGAAGCTGAGCCCCCTCAACTTCATACTCTGCATGCGCCTTGATACTTGGGGCAGAGATCTCCAGGTCCGGCATTTTGAACAGGGATTTCTTCCCTCCCATCTGTTCACTCTCTGAACCCTTGTGGCTGTGGAGAGATGCCGTCATATTCCCCTCGTCCCCTTTGGATCCTGAAATCCCGAATGGTGACATCTTGATTTTGGGCATCTTGAGCCTGACCTCTAACCCTCCCACGTCCCGCTCCAGATCTTCAGCACCTGCCAGTTTCTCGACCCTGACCCCGGCGTCTCCTCCCATCTCAGCTTTCCCCCGCTCCAAAGCTGGAGCTTCCCCTGGGCCTGTCGAGAACCCCACGTCCGGAATGGCAAGCTGAGGCATTTTAAAGGAGAAGTCCATTCCCTCTGCTGTGGGGCAGAGGGGCTGGGTGTCCATCCGGGACTCGTCCCCCTTGGCCTCTGTGCCAACTTTGGAAATCCCGAACGAGGGCATCTTCAGTTTGAACTTGCTGTCGTAACCGTCCGTCTCAGAGTCCTCTGTCCTGGGGGAACTCTCCCCCTCTCCCTTGCCCACAGTGAAGCCGATGGGAACTGACGGCATTTTGAGCTTGGCCTCTTGCACCCCCACTTGGCTGCCTGGGGTCTCGAGGCTCCCCCGGAATTTGGGGGCTTTAAGCTCCACCTTGGGGGTCTTGGATGAGTCTATATCTGCCTCCCATTGGTCATCAGAACTAGCTCCCCCGAATTTAGGCAACTTAATCTTTGGGCCACTCACTTCGACTTTGGGCACCTTCCCATGCAGCCCAGACGTGTCCAGAGCAAAGTCTCGATCTCTGCTTAAGCCAACATCAAATCCCACCTCTGGAGCTTTCACCTTCGGGGTAGAAAATTTTGGTAGCCCAACCGACGGCAGCTTAAATTTCCCCTCGGCTTCCTCCAGTCCCTCGATGGTGATCTCCCCCTCGGTCAGAGGTACCTCTATGTCTGACAACCGGGCTTTGGGCAAGGAAATATCCAGTTTGGGCACCCGGATCTTGGAACCCAGCAGGGAGCCTTCGGTAGCATCAACTGCATATTTGCCCCCTTCCATCTCCAGGGTTACTTTCTGGTCCTTTAGGGACGGCCCTTTCAGTTTGTGTCCTTTGAGGAGGTGCATCTCTGCCTCGGCACCACTCAACTCTCTATCCAAGTCTTTCCCCAAGAAACCCTCCAGCCCATATTTGGGCAGCTCCACCTTGGGCATCTTAATTTTGGTGTCTGCTTTCTCAAAGGCGGCATCCCCCTCTATTTTCAGCCCAGCTTCATGCTGGCCCAGCATCTCCACACCGGCTTTCGGCAAGCTGATATCCAAGTCTAGCTTTGGCGCAGAGATGCCAATGGAAGGCGCCTTGGGGATTTTCAAGTTTCCCTCATAGCCCTTAATATCAGCCTCGGAGACGTCCATGACCGGCTTTCCCACTGATGGCTCGCCTTCCGCTCTTACACCGGGAACGGAGATTTGCAATGAAGGAACTTGGTCAGGCGTGGAGATCTCTAGTGATGGCATCTTAACCGTGCCCACTTTTAGCTTGGTGCCAGGGCTTTCCGGTCTCTCAGACATCTCCACGTTGGCTTTCTCCTCTTTGGTTCCAAACTTTGGCAGCTCAACCTGGGGCATTTTAATTTCTATGTCGGGGCCTTGGATGTAACTTTCACCTTTGGAGCCTCTCACGTCGGCTTCTACTTTCAGGTCATCCTTGTGAGAAGAGATCGTCAGTTTTGGCATCTTCATGAAGGGGCCTTTTAGCTTCTCCTCTGGGCTCCCAGCAGCCACGATGGGCTCTTTGGCAGCTGCTTTCCCTTTCTTGCCTTTCACGTCAATCTCAGGAGCTGTCGCACTGGGCCCAGACACCTCTACATCCTTCCTGGCAATGCCAAAGGATGGCATTTTGAACCTGGGCATCTTCATCTTGGCCTCCTTGCCCTTTGCTTTCCTGTCTAGCTCTCCAGACAAGGCCTCGACGCTCCCTTTCACTTCCCCCTTGAGCGTCTCTTGCTCCAGTTCCAGCTGCTCCTCCCTGCCCTGGCCCCCAAATTTTGGCAGTGAAAATTTGGGCATCTTCAGTTTAATGTCTGGGATCTCCATGCTGGTGTCAGGCGATGTTTCCCCAGCCTGTGTGACCTCTTGGCCTGAGACGTCCCCCTTTCCCTTAGGCAAGTCAATGTCCACATCCACTCTGGGGCTGGAGATGTCAACCGTGGGAAGTTTCACTGAAGGCAGCTTCATTTTGGCTTCGGGGGAGTCCATATCGATGTGAGGCCCTGAGATCTCCACCTTCCCCTTGGGAGCCTTCCCCTCTCCCTCCGCAGAGAGCCTGGGCCCGTCCAAGTCAGCCCCCTGCTTCGACCTGGAGAACGAGAGCCCAAATTTTGGCATCTTCAGCTTAGGCCCTTTGGCGCTTGCTTCCAGGGTTTCCGCCTCCAGCTCAGCTTGCAGTGTCACAGCCTCCAGGCCTCCTTTCTTAACCTTCGGGCCAGAGATGCCAAATCTGGGGAAAGAGAACTTGGGTGATTTCAGCTTGGTATCGGTCTCCGGCAGTTTTCCGCTGATGTCAACAGCAGCTGTTCCCCCCAGCGGGGCCGCGATGGCCACATCGGGGAGCTTAGGCGTTGAAATGTCAACGGAGGGCAGCTTCACTGTGGCCTCCAGGCTCCCGGGCTTCACTTCGGGGCTTTTGAGTTCTAGTCCGACCTTTGGGAACTTCATATCTGCTTTGCCCTTCCCTTCCGGCCCTGCTCTGTCCAGTTCCTCACCCTCCAGCTTCTCTTTCCCAAACGAAATGTCCACCTTGGGGAGCTTCGCCACCATCCCACTTAGATCCGGGCCTTCCAAGGCTGCACCCTGGAGCTCAACCTCTGCTCTTGGTGTGGGGCGGTCAGCCTTGGCCTTGGGAGCTGGCACATTGATCTCCACCTCCAAGTCCTTGCAGACAGCCCCGAAATTCGGGAGAGGCTCCTGGGGCTTTTGCAGCTGGAGGTCACGTTCCTTCAGGCCTGCCACTGCCCTGAGCTCCCCCTCGAAGCCAGGCTCTGCCTTTGGCAGGTCCAGATCAACGCCTACCTTGGGCATGTCAATGTCCAACGACGGCATCTTCACCGACGGGAAACTCAGCCTGGCTTGGGCCGTTTCCACCTCAGACTCCAGCCTCCTCCCATCAGCTTTCCCTGAGGGCAGCCTCACCTCTATCTTCGGCTTCTCGACGGCTATCTCAAGCTTGGGCTTTCGCAAAGAGGCCTCCGGCAGTTCCACATCGACCGGCTTAATCCCCAGCACAGAGATATCCAGCGTGGGCACGCTTATCTTCCCAGCCGCGATCTCCAGGCCCCCGGTGTTGGCCTCCGGCTGCGGGCCTTTGGGCGAAGGCACGTGGGCCTTGCTCTCGGCTTTCCCGGCCATGCCAGAGAGGTCGAATTTTGGAAGCGACACTTGTGGCATTTTGAATTTGAACTCGAGACCCTCGGCACCGTCCCCATCAGGGGCTTTCACCCTTCCCTCACCGGCTAGCCCAGCCGGTTCCATCTTCGCTTTGGGCAGTTGCACGTCGGCAGCTTTGGGGACAGAAATGTCGATGGAGGGCATCTTCACCGCAGGGAATTTCATCTTCCCTTCGGCGGCAGGCTCTTTCGCTTTGGTGTCTACATCGGGCTTGTGTTCCCGCAGGGAGATCCCAAAGCTCGGCATCTTAATCTTGGGACCTTTTGCCTTCAACTCAGGGCTCTCCCCCTCTGCCTTCCCCACTTTCACTTCCACCTGGGGCACCTTGAGCTCCCTCTTCACCTCCTCCTCTTTGGCTTTGCCCCCATGCATGGGCAGGCTGATCTTGGGGATCGTCACAGTGACGTCAGGGAGCTCCAGCTTGGCTTCGGCAGGCTCCGGTTCCCATTCTGTATCTGCCTTCCCCCTGGGAAGGGGGATCTCAACGTCCACCTGCTGCACCCCTATGTTAAGGGACGGGAGCTTCATGCCGGCTTTGTACCTCCCGGCTGGCCCCTCGGCCTCCCCTCTGTCGCTGGGAAGCTTGGGGGACGGGATGGTGGGCGTTTTCAGTGCGCCTTCCACTTCCCCTGCAGAGATGCCAAACTTGGGCATTTTGATTTTCACGCCCTCCCCTTTGGCGCTGACGTCTGGTGCTTCCAGGGCTCCTTCCCCTTTGGGAAGGCTCAAATCCACCTCTACTTTGGGGGCTGCTATTTCCACCGAGGGGAGTTTGATGCCAGCTCTGAGCTCTCCCTCTGGCCCGTCTGCTTCCCTGTCTGCCATTGGCAGGGAAATCCCAACCCGGGGCACTTGGACTTTGGGCACCTTCAGCTTCCCCTCCAGTCCCTCTACCTCGATTTCCCCCTCCACAGGCCTGGCGGACACCCCAAACTTCGGCAGCTTGATCCGCAAGGCTTCCCCTTTGCCCGAGATCTCCGGAGTCTCCACGCCAGCCGCCACTTTGGGGGCTTTGAGATCAGGGATGGGAATGTCCAGTTCAACCTGGGGGGCCTTGAACTTGACTTGGTCCTTGAGTTCGACCTCCGCAAGCCCAGCCTCCTGCTTGGGCTTTTTCACCTTGGGGAATGGGGCTGCGAAGTGGGGGGCCTTCCCCTGAGCACCTGCCTCCCCTTCCAGCGTCCCCGCCACAGCCAGCGCCTGCGCGCCTGCCGCCTCCTTCACCTTCAGCCTGAGAAACTTGAGCCTCCTCCCCTTGGGATGCGAAGGGGAGCGCTCGACAGAGACGTCTGGGCTGGGCCCGGCCGCTTCCGTCTCGGCCGCACTCTTCGCTTTCCTTAGCTTGGCGAACTTGGGCAAGGAGAATTCCACGTCCACAGGGGCCACGTCCAGCTTCCCCGCCGACGGCTCCGCGCTGCCCATCAGGGCCACCTCCTCCTCCGGGGCCTTCGCCAGGCCCTTCCCCTTCTGCTTTCTCGTGGGCACCAGGCTCTTTATGTTCTGGGGAGAGAGGAGAGAGAGAGGGAGAACACAGCCCTGTCAATCAGGTTCCAGCCTCTGCGCCCCAGCGAGCACCCCTGGCGGCTGTGCAGCGTGGGAACGTTACCTCCACCTCTGTCGCCGCGCCAGCAGCGCGCAACCTGGGACCGACATTGCAGCTCTGTCCCTGTGATCCCGGCTCGCGGCATGCAATCTACATTCCTGGATTGCCATCTGAACAGCATTCTCCGTATGTCCCTGCCCCATCTCCAGCAGTCGCTCCCAGGAGGCTGCCCGCCTTCCGAGGCTAGCGGCGTGTTTACTTATGTTTGGATGTATTCGGGACAATAGCAGCTACCAACCCACGCGCTCTCCCTGCCTCACAACCACGGCTTAGACAAGCCACACGCCAGCCCACTCCCACTTCTTCGGGCAGGTCTACGCTCCAGACTAGCGCCAGCACAGCTGGCAAAGCCGCTCTAAGCCGAGGGGAGAGAGCTGTCCCGTCGGCTCGACTCCACCTCTGTCCATAGCGCTGTCTCCACGGGGCATTACGGTGGGTGTCAATACATCGCTCAGAGGGGGATACCCCTGAGCAACGTAGTTATACTGAAATAAGCGTGCGGGGCAGACCTGGCCTAGGTCATCCTGCACTAACAGGCCTGGAAACTCGGGCATCAAGAGGTGATATGATGGGAGGGTCAGAATAGTCAGTGGCAGAGCTAGAGATAGAACCCAGGAGTCCTGACTCCCAGCCCCCTCCCAACCAGCCCCCACTCCCCTCCCAGAACCGAGACAGAACCCAGGAGTCCTAGCGAGATGGGGTCCTTGCCAGTCGGCCCGGCCCGGCAGTCCCCATCTGGATCTCGTACGTTTCAGAGCGCCGGGGCCTGATCCTCAGTCATGCCAGGCCCTCCTGGGGCTACAGTGGCCATCAGAGAATCCAGCCACCCTGCAGGGTTGTCCCTGGCTGGCAGAAGGACCCTGCTCCGAGCCTCTGATTTTAGGGGGCGGATCGGGGTGTGCGGCCAGAGCGCACTGCACTGGGACTATGCCCTGCCCCCCAGGGCCCAGAAGGGCTGAAGCATGCGTTAGAGCTGCCCTGAAGCTGCAGTAATTGACCCCAGGCACCCAGAATACAGGAAGCACAAAGGGGCCTTTGAAGGCCCCCGCATGCAGGAAGGAGGAACTGAGACTCAGCCCAAGAGATTTTGCCGAGTCTCAAAGCTCAGCTCAGTTATAAATGAACAAACACGCTCCCCCCAGCCCCCTCCCCATCGCTAACATTTCACTTTCTGAGTCATTTGAATGAAACACGTGTGAGTTACAGGTCAGCAGGAGGGGCCGGCACCGCGTACCAGCTTGGCCATCTTCGCCTGGGGTCCCTTCACTGCCAGGCCTCCGGCTGCGGGGCTCCCGGGGACATCCGACCGGGGAACGGTGCGTTTCAGGCAGAAGGAGACCTTGTACGGCTCCGCGCACTTCAGGATCCTGAGGGCGTCTTCGTATCGGACATTCTCAAAGTAGACCCTGGCGCTGAGGAGCTGGTCACCTGCAGGGATGGGTTGGGGGGAGTTTAGGGGCTAGGGAGACGGGACAGCAAATAGAGCAATAGAAACAGCAGCCACGGGCCGGATTCACCTTGGGGCAGCCATTGGGGGAGTGCCAGGGGCTCGTACGGCAGGCGCACGTCGCACAAGCGGGGGTGTTGGCAGGGGTTCGAAGCCCTCCAGCCAAACGAGGCAGAATGGCTCCGTGATTAGGGCTTGCGCCGGGGCCGTGGGAGCTCAGCTGGCCCTGGGTTCGGCTCCCGGCTGAGATCGCGAAACGCTCTGGCGATGGGGCCATGGGAGGTGCCGGGATAAAGTCTTGCACCATGTAGAAGCCAGGAAATTGACCAACGTTCCTCTCCCAGCCTTTTAAAGGCAGAGCCCCCCGCGGTCACTGGGCTGTCCCCTGGCCACGTCCCCCTGCGGCCTCCGCTCCAGCTCACCATGCTGCTATGGGCTCATTGTCAGCGTGACAGCGACAAAGGCCACGCGAGCCTTCGGCAGCAGCCGGCTGCAGATGCTTCTCTCCTGCCGACTCGGTGGCACTAACCTCTCCCCAAGCCAGAGACACCGATCGCACAGTCACTCTGGCTGCTCAAAGGTTAGAAATTCATCCACCCGGCTGGGCAAGCGTTGCCCTGGGCAGCCCCTCTGCCCTGCCAGGACCCCTCTAGGCACCGACGGAGCTGAGTGTCCATGTAGCCGTTGGCCTTTCTACCGGGGCTGTCAGCAAGGGGGCCACTTAGTGCCCGCTGTGCTGGGGCACCCGTCCCACTAGGAACTGTGAATGATGGGGGCCCTGCCCAGCACTGGAACCGGGGATCCGCAGCTCCGGGGCACCTCCCTCCCGTCGCCCACAGAGGGAGCTTTTAACAAAGCTAGGGGCGATCCTCAGCCCAGCTACGCTGCCCGGTCCCGGCCGAGATCGGGGCCCCCGTCGGGCCGGGCGCTGCACAGACAGACCCTGTCTCCGGTTGGTGTCTCCCATCGGGTCGGGCCCAACACACCAGGGTAGGATGGTTCTCCCCAGTTCCCAGACCGGGCGCTGGGGCGCAGAGAGCCACCAGGGCCGTGCCCAGGGTCCCACAGGGAGTCAGTGGCAGACCTGGGTCCCCGGCTGCCTCCTTCACCACCCGCCTGAGGAACAAGGCCACTCACCGTCCCCTCCCCCCAGCGCCACCCACCTTCTTTCAGGCTCAGGGCCTTGGCCACGGGGGACTCCCTCAGCACGTCGGAGACAAAGAGCCCCTCCTTGCCCCCGCCGGCCACGCTGATCCCACTGGCCCCGGCCCTGGCCTCCGTCTCCAGGATGATCTCCACCAGCTCCGACGTCTTCGCTTCCTCCTGGCGGGGGAGAGACCCAGCGAGAAGCTGCAGGGGGAAGCTGGCACTGAGCCGGGCCCTGGGTTCAGACAGGACTGGTGGGCACAGTGCCGGCTACCCATGACCCCCCCTCTTCACCGGGGTGCCGGAGGCTGAACGGCCCTAGGGAGAGGAAGGTGGATCCGGGACAAGACAGGAGCCATTTGCTGCTGGCTGTGGTTCCCTGGGGATAACCAAGTGCCTGGGAGGGTGAGGGTAGAGACCGGAGCGGGGAGAGGCCAGGGGGAGCGGCTGGCCCTGGAACCACGGCATTGGTGGGCTGCAGAAATACCCAGCGAGAGATCGCGGTGTGTGACAGACCCATGGGTCACCGGGGTCAGCCCTGGGAGGCTGGGGCAGGGAGGGTCTCTCCAGCAGAGGTGTGCACAGCGCCTGGCGCAATCGGGCCCTGCTCCCTGGCTGGGCTCCGGAGGCCCTAGTGTGGCACACGGCCCCCGACAGCCCGAATTGCTGCCGGAAGCCGCTGGCTGGAACGGCGAGTCCTGGGGCCGCTGATTGTTTTAAACGGGGAGGGAGGGTCCGTGCTGGGAGTGAAGGGTGACGCCCGGGGGCGGGAGGTGGGCAGGCTAGGAAGGGTTAATCCCTCACCTCCGTCACCCTGGTCTGGGTCTCCATGGCAGGGGTGGGGGGCGGCGCTGGCTCCGCGGCGCTGGGCTGGCTCTCGCCTTTCCGCTGCAAGACCCGCTTCAGCTCTGCATGGAGCTTCTCCTTCTGCGCCTGCATCAGGGGAGACGGGGGCAGAGGTGGGGTGAGTGCTGGGACCTTAGAAAGGGGTTGGGAGCTCTGGGAGGGAAATGGGGGCTAGTGGTTAGAGCAGGGGGGGCTGGGAGCCTGGACTCCTGGGTTCTCTCCCCGGCTCTGGGAGGGAAGTGGGGTCTGGTGGTTAGAGCAGGGGGCTGGGAGCCAGGACTCCTGGGTTCTCTCCCAGCTCTACCACTGACCTGCTGTGTGGCTCTGGGCAAGTCCCAGCCCCCTCTCTGTGCCCATCTTGTCTATTTAGACTAAACATCCCTGGGACTCGTGTGCTTTCAGAACCTGCCCCCCAGCCCCCAGCCCAGCGGGGCCCGATCCCAGCCGTTAGCTCGGGGAGCCGCTGACTCGCAGGACCAGCCTGGCTACAGAGAAAGGCCTTTCAGAGCTGCGATCCCAGCCGCTTTCCCCCGGCTGCCTCTGCTGCCCCCCTGCCCAGCCCAGCCTTACGGCTCGTTCCGCGTTGCTGGCTTCCTCGGGTGACAGGAGTGGCCGGGTTCCGGGCAAGGGCTGGAGCTGTGCAGGCTTCTCCTCCTTTACTTCTGCTGCCTTGAGCGGGGGAGAGAAAACACAGGACTCAGCCTGGAGCCGATCCCACCCCCACCCCAGCCATAACCCCCAGGCACACGTGCTGACCGCCCCCCACGGGCCTGCCAGCTATGGGAATCGCTCCACCAGTCAGCAGCAGTGGGAGGCTGTTATCCTCACTGCGGGCCAGCCGCGCACACGCTGCAAGCCGAGGCCCAAACGCTCGGGGGCAGCCTCGCTAGCCGCGGGGTCCCAGCAGGAGCAGACGAGGTTCAGGGCCCGTGACCTGTCCAGCCGCAACGAGGCCTCCTCCCCCCGGGCACCCTCTTCTCCACCTCTATCCCTGCTCTGCAGGCCCCTCCCCCTCCGGGACCCCAAAAGGGGTACTGCACCCCGCACGCTGGGCTGGGACCGGCCAGGGCGACTCTCGGGGACGGCACACTGCTTGGTGCGGGGATCGGGAATGGGATCAGACTGGGGGCCCGTCTGCCAGAGCCCTGGTCCAGCTCCGGAGCCCTGGCGGGAAAAGCAGGAGGGTTTAGCTCTCTCTGCACAGCCCTTGCCCAGCGTTTGCCCATTCGTCCCCCTGGCAGCGCTGCGGGCGGGGCCGCGTGCCCAGCTGCGCACGGTAACCGGCCTGCAGCCCCCTGGGCCAAGGGGTTGTGCCCAGCGGCCTGGAAATCCAGGAGGGGCCGGGGGCTCCGAGCCAGGGCTGCCCTGAGCAGCTGGGCCATGCTCCTTCCTCGCCCTGGGCCTGCAGATCAGATCCCACCCCCTGCAGCTACTTACGGGAGACTGGCTTCCTGCGCTGACAGCATGGCCTTCCGCCCGCTCTCTCTCCGCGCCTGCCAGACAGAGAAAACAGCCCCTGTGAATGGAGCCCTGAAGGGGAGAGGGCGCGAGAGTCACGCAGCACCCCCAGGAGGCTGCCGAGAAATACACTGCGGCTCCACTCCCAGATTTGGGGCTGAAGGCCAAGGGACTGCTGGGATCTGGCCAGGGCAATGCAGGGGGCAGAGGGGTCCCATCAGTGACCCCAGCCCACAGGCCGCCCAGATCTTCGGGGGGAGCTGCTGACCCGGGGGGGTTCCGTCCAGCGCCCCAGATTCCAGCAGAGGCTCTCGCGTTCCCGCTGGCTCTGATTCCCCGGTGGGGTCAGCTGGGGCCCGGTTTGCCGATCGCCCCCTGGCCTGGCTGGATGCGTGGCCTTGCCATGCAGTGGGTGGACGCATCCGGCAGGCTCCGAACAGCGATGGACATTTGGGCGTCACACGCGAGCTGTGCTGAACGCGTCCGTGCCTCAAACCACCACACAACATAGTGCGATTTAACACAGCCGGGGCAGGACGGGGGGGGGAGCTCCTGGCCAGCCCCAGGCGCCCCCGGGAACATACCCGCGCCTCTGGGGCACTGCCGGGAAAGTCGCGGCGCTGGGCCACTTTGTCCCTCCCCCGCCGGGACTTGGCCCTGCGCTGAGGGGGAGCCCCCGAGGTCAAAGGAACCTGATCTAAACACACACCTCCCCCCCGCCCTCTCAGGAACCACCGTCCCAGGGGCCCTGGTCAGCAGGGAAACCAGCCCAAACCCCACCCTGATAACACAGCCGGAGAGCCCGGCCCTCGTCACTCCTCCAGCCAGCCCCGCGCAGGCCGGCGCCCCTGCTGCTGTGTTCTGTGGGGCTGCACCGTGCACTGGTCCCAGGGCCCCCAAGCAGGCAGGTGGAACGTGCGCCCTTCCCCAGGCTGTCACAGGGCTCGGGCACCCGCCGCGCTCATCTCGCTGGGGTAGGGCTGGCAAGTGCCAAGCTTCCCAGGCGGGACCCCGGCCCACGGCGTAGGGTGAGAGCCAGCCACCCCGCGGGGTCGCTCAGCTCCATAAGGGGTATCAAGCGTGTCGCTCCCTTTACAATCCATACTCAGAGCAGCATGAGGTGTCACCTCAGAGCAAACCCGTCCAGCCCAGTCCCACTTCATTCAGCCACCAACGTCCTTCTCCGGCTGGTATGCGGGATGGCGTTCACCGCTGCCAGCAAATGGGTCTTTGGGCCTGTGGATTGCAGCCCTTCTTTTGGTCTAAATGGAAGGAGCAATTAACCCTTTTGTGGAGCATGATAGCTGGAAAGAATAGAAGCCACCACCCAAAGTGTGGGGGGGTGCAGGGCACACACATGGCAAGGGCTGCTCGGCAGCGGAGCTGTGTGGACTGAGGAGTTCCTGACTGCAATGAACACAGGAGCCAAGGGAAGGTTCTGCGAGCTGCAGGCGCGTGCTCGAGCTTCCCAGTACTAGTGCCCCATGGAGAGAGCCCGCCCCTCACAGAGACGCACCAGCTCCTGCGGGGAGGAGACGGATGGGCAACATCCATCCCGGGGTCAGGGGTCAGCACAGACGCTGCTCACATCACTCCCCTGACAGCCTTGGGGGGCAAGGCCAGCTTGGGGGGGGGGAATGCTTTGAATGGCAATGTCCTGCCCCCACATAGGCTGCTCCCCTAACCACTAGACCCCCCCTCCCCTCCCAGAGCTGGGGAGAGAACCCAGGAGTCCTGGCTCCCAGCACCCCCCTCTTCTAACTACTAGACCCCCCCTCCTCTCCCCGAGCCAGGGAGAGAACCCAGGAGTCTTGGCTTCCAGCCCCCCTGCTCTAACCACTAGACCCCTCTCCCCTCCCAGATCTGGGGAGAGAACCCAGGAGTCCTGGCTCCCAGCCCCCTCCTCTAACCACTAGATCCCATCCCCTCCCCTCCCCTCCCAGATCTGGGAAGAGAACCCAGGAGTCCTGGCTCCCACGTCGGTTGCTGTTCCCAGCCCTGCAGTAACTTGCTCACAACTCCGGGGACTGGGGCCGTGTCTTTCTCCCTGTGGCTCCCTGCACCTGATGCCTCCTGGCTGGCACCCCCCTGCCCCAGACCCAAGGAGGTTTCTACCTTCTGCACCTCACCTCTCCCCACTGCACCTCTCACAGGGCCCCCCCATCCTCCCGGCCTGGGGACAGACTGGCATGGGGCACCCATCTCTGCACGGGGCCCGGTGGCATTTCATTCCCACGCCCGTGCCAGCGGGACCCGTCCCTGGAAAGGTCACTGGCTGACATCTCACATTCCCAGCCCCCGGGAAACAATGGGCCCCTGCGTCCTGCCCAGGGCCGCGCTGGCATAGCTGGAATTCTGGGCAAAGGTTCACGGGACCCCGAACAATGTCTCTGCAGAGCCCCAGCTCCCCCCACCCACAGGCGACAGCAGCAGCTCCACAGCTTACCCCCCCCCCCGGCTCTTCTTCTCGGATGGGGGCTGTTCCCAGGTCAGGGAGGGGAGTGGGGCTCGGCGGGTCGGGGAGCCGGGACCCCTGGGGCTGTTCCCAGGTTGAGGAGGGGAGTGGGGCCCGGTGGGTTGGGGAGCCAGGACCCCTGGGGGTTGTTCCCAGGTTGGGGAGGGGAGCGGGGAACGGCGGGTCAGGGAGCCGGGACCCCTGGGGGCTGTTCCCAGGTCTCGGAGGGGAGCGGGGCCCGGTGGGTTGGGAAGCCGGGACCCCTGGGGTCTGTTCTCGGGGAGGGGAGCGGGGCCCGGCGGGTCGGGGAGCCGGGACCATCCTTTGTCTGGTCAGACCGGGAGCGATTTTGGGCAGAAACCATCTGCTGGGTCTGTGCAGCGCCCGACTCTCAGTCGGGGGAAGGGGGGGGGAGTCAGGGCAGTGCCCCCGGTGCCTCCCCCTCGTCTCAGTCAGTGCCTATAAGTGCTACTGTAAAACACCTCATAACAAGCCCAGCATCCCAGCCTTCGGGCCAGCGATCGCTTTCCTCTCCGGCATGCCAGGGCCACGCCCCCCCGCCCCTGCTCAGCCCGGCAGGTAACACACCTGGTATAACCCCCGGCAGTTTGCGGAACGTGCCCCCAGCCCTGGGGACCGGTCCCCCCCGAGGAGCCAGCTGGCTAACCTGGCTGGAAAAATTCGAGTGGAAGAGGGCACGTGGCCGGGGCGCCGCGGCGAGGGGGCTGTGGTAATTCCCCATTCCCGGGGGACATCCAGGCCCAGCCCAGCCCAGCCCAAACAGCCCCAGGTTAGTTAAACGGGAACCATTTGAGCAACGCAAACATACCCCGCGCAGGCCCAGGTTCCAGTCCAGGCACTCACCGACGCTACAACAGGACCTCACACAGCTGGGTGATGGGGCAACAAAATGGCAGATGAAATTCAAAGTTGATAAATGCAAAGTAATGCACATTGGAAAACATAATCCCAACTAGACATCTAAAATGATGGGTCTAAATGAGCTGTTACACTCAAGACAGAGATCTTGGAGTCACTGTGGAGAGTTCTCTGAAATCATCCACTCAACGTGCAGCGGTGTCAAAAAAACAAACAGGATGTTGGGAATCACTAGGAAAGGGATAGACAATAAGACAGAAAATATTGTATTGTCTCTATATAAATCCATGATATGCCCACACCTTGAATACTGCGTGCAGATGTGGTCGCCCCATCTCAAAGAAGAGATCTTGGACTTGGAAAAGATTCAGAGAAGGGCAACAAAAATGTTTAGGGGTATGGAACGGCTGCTGTGTGAGGAGAGATTAATCAGACTGGGACTGTTCAGCTTGGAAAAGAGACGACAAATGGGGGATATGATAGATAAAATCATGACTGGTGTGGAGAAAGTAAATAAGGAAGTGTTATTTACTCCTTCTCATAACACAAGCACCAGGGGTCACCCAATGAAATGAATAGGCAGCAGGTTTAAAACAAACAAAAGGAAGTACTTCCTCACACAACACACAGCCAACCTGTGGAACTCCTTGCCAGAGGATGTTGTGAGGCCAAGACCATAACAGGGTTCAAAAAAGAACTAGATCAGTTCCTGGAGGATAGGTCCATCGATGGCTATTAGCCAGGTTGGGCAGGGCTGGTGCCCCTAGTCTCTGTTTGTCGGAAGTTGGGAATGGGCGACGGGGGATGGATCACTTGGTGAATCCCTGTTCTGTTCATTCCCTCTGGAGCACCTGGCACTGGCCACTGTCGGAGGACAGGACACTGGGCTGGGTGGACCTTTGGTCTGACCCGGTCTGGCTGCTCTTATGAGAGTTCATCTGACAACTGTAGGGATGAATTTCGCGTGGTGCACTTAAAGCGCATGAAACCCCTGGGGCACACTCTCACTCCAACTTACAGCAGCTTCCGCTCGGTCGAGTTCACTTCACTTCCAAAGCTTAACACTCGGCCAGTCTCAGCCTACCCCGTGTTCCCAATCCGGAGTGCGTCGCCCCCAGCAGTCCTGAGCCTGGTTTAAACCCAGAGCAACTCGGGGCCGGTTCATTTGCCCTCTGAGCCTGTCGGGGTCTGGACTGGTTTAGCACAGGGACGCTGAACTAGCCCTGGTGTAGACGGGCCGAAGGGTTCTTCCGGCTCCCGGCTCCTGCCGAGGTGCAGGAGCTGAATGGGGGGGGGCGGGGAGGGGGGCGTCTACACGACCGGCATGCAGAGGGGAGGCGCATTGGCGAGAAACGTCCCCTGCCGTCCGCCGGGGGCTGCAGGAGTCGGGTCTGTCCGGCAGAGACCGAGCGCCAGGGGACGAGAGTGCGGGCGATGCCCAGCTCCCACGCGCCTGACGTGACGCTGAAACAAGCCGGGTCGAAAGCCAGGCAGGAGCTGAGCTCCATCCCGGCCTGTCGCGTCGGCGCCGCTTGGTACTAGGTGCATCAGGGCAGCCCCCAAAGACCCCCTGGTGCTGGGCGCTGCCCAGACCCTGCGTGGGAGCCATGCCAGGAGCTCCCGGGGGCAGGGACGCGGCAGACCAAGGGGAAGTAACTTGCCCCTAAGGCGGCAACGGAGCCAGGACCTGACTCCCCGTCC